TTATAGTTTTCCTTGCTAAAATATAGTTATTAAGGCCAGGAAATCTGTTAAGAAGATAGCTAATGTAATCAGCATATTCTGCATAATCAGGGACATTCTTATTAGAAAGAAAATAAATAAATAAATAAATAAACAAATCAAAATAAAGTAGTGAACTAACCTGAATTAGTGTAAGACTTGTTTGACTGGTTTGAGATAACAATCAGATGTATTTGTTTCCAGCTTGCTGCATTCCGCCTACATGCAGGCCCACTTCCAGAACAGTATCGCTTCATGAACCAGCCTCCAGGCCAGCGGAAACATAAAAAACACAAGAAGCACAAATTCAAGGCAGGGGAAACGCCAACACAAGATGGCTCTGCAGACGGGTCGGATATGCACGAGAAAAAGCACAAGAAAAAGAAGAATGACGAGGAGAGGGAAAAGAAAAAGAAAAAGAAAGAGAAGAAGAAGAAGAAACAAAAACACAGTCCAGAACATCCAGGAATTTCGGGTGGTGACATGAATAGGATAATTCAATGATAAGACAGTGTAGTGCGAGCCTTAACATTGCAAAGATAGAAACATCTACTGAATCATGGTTCACCTTTGTGCATCAAGTTACAGTGTTTGTAAAACTTGTAAGTGAAGCTTAAAAAGAAGCATTTTTCCAGTTAAGTATAGTCTTTCTCAGTATGTTAGACCCCAAGTCTATATATGTTACATGAGTCAGATTATTATAGTTGACTTTTTATACCTTTCAAGTATTGTACTAAGCATTTTAAATGTCTGTGGCTGAATAGACAATGCAAGGTACTGACTTGTGTAATGAAAATGTTCCTTTTTTTGGTTAAATCAATAAAATCTCAACTCAGTGATGTTTGTCTTCAGCAGGAGAATGTAATCATTCTTAAATGATTTACTGATCATTTTAATATATATAGCTGGATTATTTGTAATTATGTGAAGTAATGAACTGGCCTGGATTTCTTTAATTACAGCAATTGGGGAAATAACTAAGAATGCAAAGATTATCTAATACCACTTAATGAACAGAGAAATGTCCTTTTTATGTCTGAAATCTTATTTATATTGAACCACTTCTCTAATTATCTTTGCAAATCAAATAAGGGAATTGTGTTGTAAGAGATTAAGTTATGTTACTTTTATGATGAAAAACAATGAAATGGAAAAAGAAATATTATTTTTTATTTCCTTTGCATATTTATAAGGATTAAATGTTCACCTTCTATTGTTACAGTGTGGTCTTACATTTATTGATTTATATGGATGTAAGTATGGAGAAGTATGTGCCTGTGCTTGTGTGTGTGTGTTTGGAGGGGGGTGCATTGTTCATTCAGAAGTAGTACTCTTAGGAAACTGCAGTTCTCTTCATACATACCACAGCATTTTTAATGTAAACCCTTTAATTCTCTCTTCTTGTTCCTCTTTAATTTAAAATATCATTTTTTTCCTTCTTTTTACATAATTGTTCCCAAGTCATGATTTTTAAACGTAACCTGTCTACTATTGTTAGCTTTAACTTTTTTCAACATTTCTTTGAAGTTCATTTGGCGGTTCTTAATTCAAACATTCCATATTATCAATTTCCTTGTGTAAGTAGAAACTTTCCATGATTTGAAAGGAACTCTAGAGTAGGCCATATGATAGTTGTGATGATTTTCTTTACCATATCTTTGTCTCCATACATGATTGCCTCTAGGTTTCAGTTAGCAGTAGTATTTTGTTTACATTGTTATATGTGTGAATCGCAAGGTTTTCAACATTTGAAATCGCTTCTCCAAATTTTCACTGATGCAGAGATTAATTTTTACTAGCCCCCATATTTGACTAACCGGTCAGTTCATCATGAAATTACTGGTTTGAATCTAGCAAATGGCAATTGATGACAAGATATGTAAATTAGCTCATCTGACTGGGTATTTTGGTATAAGGTATATCATGGCAGAGTGGATGCAGCAGATAATTGACTTACAAATATTACTGAAAGAAAGAATATTTTCATATCCATCTTAAAATTCTGCGTTGAGCAGACATTAAGTAGATCATATAGAGGTAGGTGCAGTTTTCTACATATGAATGTATCTTCATAGTTTTCTGTCAGTTTTTCACATGACTTGTAATGCAAACTATTATAATTTGCTAATTTATTTATTTTTATGTATTTATATAATTTTCCTTTTCACACAAAAAAAATTCTAACAACTTGTGTGCAACTCAATGTTGAAAAAAGAAATCCAGATACACTTTACAACTTGCCTAAGAAACCCTATAAAAATTATATATTAATTACCTTCTATTTTGATGAAAAAGTATATTTTTGTCCTTTTATAGATTCAAATACAAACCTTTACAAAAAAAAAAATATATGCTGTGATTAAATATATATATATATATAGATATGTATATATTCCACCTCTTTTACAAATAAAGTGTCTTATTAGAATTAACAGCACTGAATACACCATGCTCTCAAGTACCACTGTAATGTACTATCTAGATATTAATTTCATAAAAGCTAATAATCTGAAATATTTACACCCAACTTAGTAATTCTTATATCAATTTTTTATTAGAAAAAAACATTATACATGTGCTTATAAATTTCTATTTTTATTTATGCTTTTGTTATCCCATGCACACATACAGGCATACATACATACGCACACACACACATACACACACACACGCACGCACGCACGCGCGCGCACACACACACACACACACACACACACACACACACACACACACACACACACACACACACACACACACACACACACACACACACACACACACACACACATACATACATATATATACGGAGTAAGGAGTAAGGTACGGACTTCCCCCCATATTTTTTCTTTCTTTCTTTCCTATTTTAATTTTGTCATTTGAATTCTATCACATCAGGTGAAAAAAAATGGAGAATACAACATGTACAACATTATTTTGTGTTTATGTGAAGTCATCGTATATACCCGGTCGGGCTACTTTGGGCCTTGGCCCCTTCTACGGCGAGGATTGGTCAAAACGTGAAAACGACCGGCTTCCCTGCCTTGTTAACTATCATGCAGTATCTGTACAGTGCTACACTATTCCTCCCAGACAACGCCGAAAGTCCACCAATATTGGCAAGATTACCTTTCATAGACATGACTTCCCTATGAAGATTATATTGGCGGAGAGTCCTTCCCTGTCCGACTGTATCGACCCCTCCCCCGTCATTGAAATGTTGGCGTTTTGGCCACTGTCGTTCCACAGCAAGATGTCCTGTATGTTCCTAAACTGGTCATAACCGTTCAAGTTCGAGTCTGAGGTAGCAGTTCTTAGATTCAAACTAGAACTTATTCTACGCGTGGGCCGGACAGAAAGCACGCCAACGAGGTTTACTCTCGCTACTTTTCTTACGTTTTCCTTCGTTCTGTTCCTGTCCTTTCCTACTAAGATGTCTCATCATCTCACCCCCTACCCCTTACCATCTTACCACTTCTTCCTCTTCCTCTCGTAATCAAGTTCTTTTTCCAGGTGCCCGCCCCTCCCTCTCGCTCTGCTTGTCGCACTAAGCGATCTAAACGTCCCAGTCTTCTCGTACCGCATTGTACTACATTCACCACTTCCTCTGCTTCTCGGGCTTCTCTTTTCCACTTCTTAAGAAAACCTTCGTTTCTTAACCCCCCTCCCCCAATCCCTGTCGTGTGAGTGTGCGTGGGGGGAGGCTTAACTCGTTTTTACCCTTTTCGCCACAATGCTTCATCCTACTGCTATACTCGTACTTGGGGACTTCTCCCCCCATGCCCCACCCTATCGCTGTATTTTGAATACGCCGCTAATGACCTTAGATGTTGATGCGGCAGATTTTTTTTTTTTATAAAGAAAATCATTCGTTTCTCAAATTTTCCGCCCAACTCCCTTTCAGAAGTTATTGACGATATCCAAAATTTTAAAGACCCAAGAGAACATTCCTCTTTCTCATTGACCCTACATTCCCTATACTCCCATTGCCGCTACCCTTATTCCCCGATGATTGCTTCATAACGTCTCTTCTGCAGCGTTCCTCATGCAATGTGCCTCTTTATCAGATGCATAGATACTCCATTTGATCTAATTGCCCTTCGGCCTTAACCCTCTTCCTCCCTTTTACTAATCCCCACCTTACTAAATTCCCTCCTCTTTACTATCATACTACCCTATAGTGTGTGTGTGTGTGCGTGCGTGCGTGCGTGCGTGCGTGCGTGCGTGTGTGTGTGTGTGCGTGTGTGTGTGTGTGTGTGTGTGTGTGTGTGTGCGCGCGCGTGCGTGCGTGTGTGTGTGTGTGTCTGTGTCTGTGTGATTTTTTTGTTTTTTTTTTTGTTTACGCCTTCTGTCATTCACTGTTTTTGGGAAAGACTTTGCGTATCAGTATTGTTTTACTGAACGGCCTTCTTCCGTAAGCTGGAACGTTTGTCAACTACCCAACTACTGAACAGATACCTTGGTATTATGCCTACCTGATGTTCATAATTGTACTGTTATAAAGCATCTTGAAATATATCACTATTATCATAATTTCAAGGATTTACAGAATGACTGACTACAAAGTCTTATCATGAAGGACAGGATATTTTTTTTATGAGCTATATTTTTTATGTTGTTTCCAAAGAACAGCCGGTTATTTAGGGATCTTGCATAATCTTGCTCAGTGACCTCACCGCCTTTCCCTTTTCGTCGTGAATTCATCGAAAATGTGTATGAAGACACGTGACAAAAATATTCATAGCAAAGGATGAATTTTTCATTTACATGGAAGTACTGCTATAATGCAAGTTTATACATTGCTGCTGCTAATAATAATGATGACGATAATGATAATACTATTAATGATAGTAATAATAATAACAACAATAATAATAACAAAGACTATGGTGATAATCGGAATGATAATATTTTCGCAATGGTCCCATTCATCTCTAAGCAAGCACAGACAGTAAACAAAGGTCTCTTTCCGTCGGACTTCATCTCTTACATTTATCCTTGAGCTGTATCTCCTCCTTCAGATCAAGTGGCAGGTAGCCTATAGATAACAGAGACTCTTAGCTATCATCCCCTCGTCAACTTTGTACTATTCTCGCCGTGTTCACGCTGCAGACACGCGGCAACAGGTGTGAGAGTTTGTTGTTGTTTTGGTTTGGTTGGATTTTTTGTATTATTATTAATATTATTTTTTTTAGGCCTTTTTGACTTAAGGTACTGAATATATACCATGCATAAATACTGATCTGATACATATTAAACTGAATGGATCTTATAAGGTAAGAGTTGATACAAAATAGGTGGTTTGAATATGACCCAGTTGAATATCTAATGATATATCTATTGTAGGGTATGCACCAGTCAAATGATGCACTATGTAACATCTAGTACTAATGTGTTAATTAAGAATCCCATTGGATTCCCAGAATTTCAAAAGTAAGAAACATAAAGCATGATTATAAAATACAATCGCGGTTTGCCAGAGAACCACAGGATCTGCAGATCACGGCCAGTTCTGTTCGAGATCATGAGACTCTTCCTGGCAGCAGCGGTCGTGATAGTAACGGCGGCATGTGCGCTCCTTCCGGCGACAGCAGAGCCCACCTGTGAGATAGGCATAAGCGAAGTCCTTCGGGAGATCAAGGAAGTCATCTCAGCCGGAAACAGGCGGTGCAGAGGTACAGGCTCACTCTACCCTTATCCCTTCGTAAGAACTATTTGTATGCAATGTATGTTATATGTTATGTACTTTTAACCGTACGACTTAGCACTAGAAGCTTCAATATTTATAGTAAAACAGAGGGTTTTTTGTAAAGTTTAAATGTATAGGGTAGATATATATCCGTGATCGAAAAAGTCGTGTTAAATATCCCAGAGACAAAATGTTTTTTTATACAGATGTCCCTCGAGGTGGAATGTTTGGGGAGCACACGGAGCAAATGTTGCAGGCCCTTCGGCAACATGGGGAGGTAAGTCGATCAATTAGCTTTTACCCAGGAAAAAGATAACGAACGGGAAAGGGGACAGGAAGAGGGAGTGGAAGAAAAGGGAGGAGGAGGAGGAGGAGGAGAGGGTGGAGAATGAGAATAATAATAATAAGATGTAGAAGTAGAAGGAGAAGGAGAAAAAGGAGGAGGGAGGAAGAGAGAGAGAGAGAGAAAGAGAGAGAGAGAGAGAGAGAGAGAGAGAGATGATGAGGAGGGAAGATGAGGAGGGATAGGAAAAGAAGAAGCAAAATCCCTTGTTTGGTACCTTTCGGCAAATACCACTTCTCCCCGCAGGTGGTCGAGTCTCTGCAAACCCACACGGATTCTCTGAACAAGGCGCTGGGGGCCGTGGCGGAGGTCCAGACCAGCCAGAAGTTCATTGTGGCTTCCCTCCAAACTGAGATGGAAACGGAGAGGCTGGCTAGGACCCACCAAAGGCGCACCATAGAGGACCTGCAGAGCGAGCTCAACAGACTCAAGGAGGAGAGCAAGGCGAGAAATCGGCTCACTCTTTTCTGTTTTTATTATGTCTTTAGAAATATTGATATGATCTGAAGCCTATTTCGAAAAGAATAAACTTGTTAGATAAAATATAAAATCCCACGCTTGAAATAAGATCTCCCCATTAGAAACCCTCCAGGTGAACTTTTGACACCCTGGCATCTTCCCTTGCCATTATTTTTTTACGTAGTTACCCCTATTATTTTTCCCCCATTAATTTTTTACCTAGTTACCCTCATTACTTTTTCAGCCGGTTACCCACATGCTCTTATCCAATTCTGCAGGTTTGGGTGGACCACCTTAATTCACTGGAATCGGACATCAAGGAGGAAATCAGGAAGACCGAGAGCATGGCAGAGGAGATGGCCGTGGAGATCCGGTCTGCCAACGAGCGGGTGGCGAATCTGGGTGAGTCCGAAGGTGCCAAGGACTGTGAGACGAGCCAGCTGACCAGTCCCTCCGTTTGCATGACAGTCAGTTGTTCACTTTACAGTTTGTGGTTTCGAGCCAAATCAATCTACATGACAGTAGAAATTCGCTTAGTTCTGTAGTAGCATTCAACAATTTTAGCTTCAATCTATTTCTCTTCTAAAGTTTTGACTGAAGGAGGAATTATTCCCTGCAATTCGGGAAAATGATATCACATTATCAAATTATGCTGCCTCTGAAAAAAATTAAGAACATTTTAAACAATGCTTGGAAATATAGAGTTTATGTATCAACAGCTGATCCCTCATTAATGATTATCGAGGTTATAAAAAATCCCCCCGACGTGGACCCCCAGGGAAGGTGATCCGACGCGTCCAGAGCAGCATGCAGGCACTCGAGAGGGTAGTGAACCGCCACACAAAGGCGCTCGTCACCATCAGGAAGTACAAGGGCCACGTTGAGGACTCCGAACCCGACGAGGTCACTGTCAGACCCCCCCAGCCTCTGTCAGGTAGGTGGGTTGATTGCTGTCATGTGGATACATTCTGGGTTGATATACAGGTAGTTTGGTTTATTGTTGTCATTATCATTTTTATTATCATCATGATCATTATCATTACTATAGTAATTCAAGTCTTTGGTGGAATGCTGTTTGTAGATGGTTTGGTCTAGATTCTATCTAATTCTCTCTCTCTCTCTCTCTCTCTCTCTCTCTCTCTCTCTCTCTCTCTCTCTCTCTCTCTCTCTCTCTCTCTCTCTCTCTCTCTCTCTCTCTCTCTCCCTCTCTCTCTTTCCAATCGTTAACCAACTCCCGCATTCTGTATCATACAAACGACCATTCCAGAGAACTTCGACTGCCCTCACCCGTACACGAAGATGGGCGCCGGCTGCTTCACCGTCCATTCGGATGTCCGGAAGACGTGGGAGGAAGCACGCGACGACTGCAAGTAAGTGCAAAGGAGGAGGTCGTAGGAACGTTTGTTTAATGCGGGTTAGTTGGCTTTCTACTGATCGATTGAGTGTTTGTACTTACATACATACATACACGTACACACACACGCACACGCACTAATGTGACGTAATGAAACTGTTACAAGCTTCCTGTAGAGGTAGTTTGAAAATACTTGATTTAGTTAAGAAACCAGACCAAGAAGTCAGAATGAACGAACAAGAAGTTTCAAAATGTTTCAAGAAATCTT